CCCCCCCACTTGCACCTTGAAACTCGCCTATTCCAATGAAAGTGTGCGTCGTAAACGGTTGGATTACCCAAATTTTATTGATGAGCAATCTCATGTTAAGTGGGCACGATCTCTGTTTTGACAGGACGGGCCAATGGGGCGTGGCCTCGAAACACGGAACGCGGGATGTAAAATCGGTTCAAAACATCAAAGGGTCAAGTCTGACGCTTCGCCGAAAAAAGTTGTCAGTAAAAGATACTATTCTTATTTTTTATATATCCTGCCTTTGCGGCTAACGGTTGTGTTCACTATGCAAAGTCGGATACAATTCTTTCACGGAGGAAAGACGATGTGTACTATTCAAGGAACCCGCCTCGCAATGCCGAAGACAATCTGCACGTCGAACACGTCGTCATTGAAGACTGGTTCAGGGGCTACTGTGGGAGTCCTGGACTAAGGGGTCCTCGGGCGTCCGGTCTATTGGATATGGGCCGGACTGATGGGCCGTTAAGATACAAGACAGAATATCGCCTCTCGTGTCCGGTAGGACTCCCGTATGCGTGGATGGCAAGTTTAGGTGTACGGATATGTTATTTCCTTTCTGTTAAACCAACTTTGTACAACCCTAAGCCCCGCTGGTGTCTATATAAACCTGAGGGTTAGATCAGAGGCAGGATCACAACATTGCTAGGCTAGCCAATCTAGGGTTAGCCAACACGATCTCGTGGTAGATCAACTCTTGTAACCCCAATACCCTTCGAATATAATCAAGCAGGAGTAGGGTTTTACCTCCATTAAGAGGGCCTGAACCTGGGTAAACAAAGTGTCCTTTGTCCATAGTTACCATCGGTCCTCAGACATATAGCTTGGGTCCCTCTACCCGAGATCTACCGGTTTTGACACCGACACCAAGGGATATACATCATGTCCAATTATACAAAGATATTTTTTAGTACCATGAACGGAATCATGGGGAGGAATTGTACTACATTCGCAAGCATTTGGTGGTTCCATGATTTCATCCATGCACAGAGTGCTCATTGAATTATTTGATTTGCAACTATTTCAAACCAGTGATACGAAGCATCAACATAGTGATTGATTCCGATGATACCCAATTAAGTGGCTTTCCAGGATGACAGGGGAGGGGTCTCGGAGTCCTTCCAGGTGTTGAGGAACGTGTTGTGGTACCGATCACCTTGGACCGCATCCATGGCGGCGTAGGACTCGAGCTCGACCATCTCCTCGGCCGTGAGCTCCACAGAAAGCGCTCTCACATTCTGGTTGAGATTCTCAACTTTTGTTGTGCCGGGTATGGGGCACACATCACTTCCCTGGTGATGAACCCAAGCCAGGGCCAGCTGGGACGACGTGCAACCCTTCCTCGCAGCCATCTCGCTCACGCACTCAAATATCGTCGCGTCCTTCTCCATGTTCTCGGGTTGAAATCTTGGGAGATTCTTAAAACGCAATGGGGTGCATTTGTTAGAAAAAGGAGAAAGGAGAAAAGAATGCTAGCTAACCGCATGAAAAAGTATCATGGGTGGTTCATTTACCTTGCCGAAATCATCCTCTGGTAATGTGTCCAACAGTTTAGGTCCAGTGGATAGAAAACCTCTGCCTAGTGGACTGTATGCCACATTCCAATGCCAAGTTCTCTGAAACAGTAAATAATTTGTAAGTTCTTTTTTAGGACGTTTCATAAGTACTATGAAGCTGATTTTGAAAAGAAAAGGCAGGTTTGTGGTCGTTGCAAAAACCTGCAAGTTGGTATTATATCTTCTTCAACATCTCTTGACCACAAAGACCACTCCAGCTGAACAGCGGTGATAGGATGAACTGCATGTGCCCTTCTTATTGTCGCTGCCGAGGCCTCCGACAACCCGACGTATTTCACCTTTCCTTCTTGGACTATCTTCTTGATCTCACCCATCTACATGCACACGGAAGTCAAGAAGGTAGACTGGTCAATACCTACAAGCCCTCAATCTTGTTGGGCGAATAAGTCGCGGCGACGCACCGGACACGACCAGCGCATGTATGGACGCGAGCTGGCCGGGTCGGACATGTCGGGGGGACCGCGGGTGCGTGTGTGCGTGTGGTGCACGGGGTGGCCGTGCGGGTAGACACTGTGCATGTGTGTGTAGACTAGGTCAGTACGTGATCCGAGCGCAGCGGAGCGCGTGATCGTTGAGGGCTCGTCGGAGCGCGCGAGTGGGTAGGAGCGAGTGGGTTGTTGCCTAGCTTGGCTCGAGTATAAAGCTCGCGGTGGTTGTCGGTGTCAAAACTGGCGGATCTCGGGTAGGGGGTCCCGAACTGTGCGTCTAGGCGGATGGTAACAGGAGACGAGGGACACGATGTTTTACCCAGGTTCAGGCCCTCTTGATGGAGGTAAAACCCTACGTCCTGCTTGATTAATATTGATGATGTGTGTTACAAGAGTAGATCTACCACGAGATCAAGGAGGCTAAACCCTAGAAGCTACCCTATGGTATGATTGTTGTTCGTCCTACGGACTAAAGCCATCCGGTTTATATAGACACCGGAGAGGGCTAGGGTTACACAGAGTCGGTTACAATGGTAGGAGATCTACATATCCGTATCGCCAAGCTTGCCTTCCACGCCAAGGAAAGTCCCATCCGGACACGGGACGAAGTCTTCAATCTTGTATCTTCATAGTCTTGGAGTCCGGCCGATGATGATAGTTCGGCAATCCGGACACCCCCTAGTCCAGGATTCCCTCAGTAGCCCCTGAACCAGGCTTCAATGACGACGAGTCCGGCACGCATATTGTCTTCGGCATTGCAAGGCGGGTTCCTCCTCCGGATAATTTATAGAAGATTGTGAACACCAGGATAGTGTCCGGCTCTGCAAAAATAATTTCCACATACTACCGTAGAGAGAATAATATTTACACAAGTTCAATCTGCTGACGTATTTGATGGTGTGATGTCACACCACTACCAAGCCTTTACTTAAATTGTTTTTATTGTACCACCTCAGCGCGTTTAGCGAAGCGGTTTCCTTGGCACGTCTTGTGAAGTAGAGATCGTGTTCGCCTTATTCCGGGATTCCCATCAATACGGACGTGGGTAACCCAACCGCGCCATTGATTGCGGTGCTTGGGGGATAAGCGAGTTTTATCAGGCCGGTGGGGACGCATGTTTTTGTCCGCCCATATAAGGGGATAAAGATCCAACCCTATTACATGCGCCTTCTTCCTCCTTGGCTTATCCATCTCTGCGAACCCGAGCTCCAGCGCCCAAGCCCGCACATCTCACCTCAACCTTCTCCAACTATGTCCGGAGCGGGAGGCAAGTGGATGGCCTCCTCCGTCATGGAGGGGCAGATCCAGAAGCTGCACAGCGCCAGATACTTGTCCAGCGACATCGCGCACCGGCTCCCCATCGAGGGAGAGCTCGTCCCCACCCCCAAGCCCCATGAGAGGGTAGTATTCCTTCCCCATTTCCTCCGCGGACTGGGCTTCCCACTCCATCCCTTTATCCGGGGCTCATGTTTTACTACGGCCTGGATTTCCATGATTTGGCCCCGAATTTCATCCTCAACATCTCAGCGTTTATCGTCGTGTGCGAGGCCTTCCTCTGCATCCAGCCCCACTTCGGCTTATGGCTCAAGACCTTCAGTGTCAAGCCGAAGGTTGTGAAGGGCAGTCAAGCGGAGTGCGGAGGCGCCATGGTGGGCAGGATGTCCCACGTTACCTGGCTCGAGGTCACTTTCGTGGAAACCATCAAGGGGTGGCAATCGGGGTGGTTCTACATCACCGAGCCGCGTGACCCCGAATGGGCAGCGGCCCCCGAATTCAGATCCGGCATCCCCACACGGCTCACCTCCTGGAAAGAGAGCGGACGGACATGGGGTGATTCGGAGGAGCTGACCGGACTCCAAGCTTGCATCCAAAAGCTAGTGGACAAGAAGCTCAAGCTTGTCAACATAGTCCAGGTCATGCTCATCCGCCAAATTCTCCCGTGCCAACGACGGGGCTTCAACATGTGGGAGTTTGATCCGGCGCAGCACCAGACTTTGAATGGGCTCTTCGACACTACGTACGAAGATGTCTGGAAGGTGCTGTTCAAGGGCGCCGAGGCTCCCGCATCCGCTACCAAAGACCGCGGATTCAGCTTGGAGCGTCCAGCTGATGAGGTAAGTGATTTTGTCCTTTAAGGGATGCTTGTTTTCCATAGTTTGACTCTATGCGGGATCTAAACTCCCTTTCCTTTGACAGGACTGGCTGAAGAAGGCCGAACAGGCTATCTGTCCGGCCCCATTGCCAGAGGACCCAGCGGACACCCGTTTAACGGGGCTGCCGGCTCCGGCACCCCACGTGGTGCCGGAGAAGAAGGCCAAGAAGAAGGCCACGGGGACTCGGAAGAGTTCCCATTTTCAGGTGCTATCGGATGACGACTCCGAGGCCGACTCCTCTCACCAAGGTGAGGAGGAGAAGAAGAAAGCCTCTTCCCCAGCGGGGGGAGAGAAGAAAAGGAAGGCCTCCCCAGCGAGGGAGGCCGAAGGGTCCAAGAAGGGAAAAACTCTTCCCCTGGACTGTTCTGCCAACGCCAGTGATGACGACGAGGACTGGCCTCCAAGGGCCAGGCCTCTGGCAAGATCGTGAGTATCCGGACTCCCGAATAACTTCATGGTTTATCTTTTTTGCCACACAATGTCTTTCTAATACCGCACACAACCCTGCAGTCCGCCCAAGGATGATCTTCCCGCTTCATCGAGCGGGTCCTTAGGTGCGTCGGATATGGATTCTCTTCTAACCGCCTCCACCCCCCGTGACACGGACGACGCCGAGGTGGGATCCTGGTAAGGGACCCGCCAGGAGGAGGAGGCCCCAGAGGTGTCGCAGGACAACCTCCCGGACTTTGCACCGGACTCGGCTCCGGATCCCATAGTGGCTCCGGAGTCCGGCGGGCAGCCCCTTCGTAAGAAGGGCAAGACCGTGACACCGGCAGCCTCCGTCCAACCGGAGGCGCCGGATAGCTTGCTGGAGGCGCTCAATGGCGCCTCCATCAAAGAGGAACACCGCACTGTTATGAGTGCGGTGATTCAGAAGGTGCAGCTCGCCAAGAGCGGGCTGACTGAAGCCTGTAGCAGCCTTCTAACAGGCTTTGAGGTAAGAATTTTGATATATGTAAAATAGTACCGCATAGACAGTAGCCCCTGATGCTTGGTTCGGTGTTCGGAAAGAAAAGCCGGACTGAGGATCTAAGAAGATATACGCAGGAGTTATAAAAAATATGTCGATATGGGATTGCAGGCTGTGCTGCTGACCTCTGCCGCATTGACTGCGGAGGTCAATACTTTGAAGGAAGGCCTCGAGCGGTCCAAGAACGAGCTCGGCCGTGCCAAGAAGCAGCTTGAGGACAAGGAAGGTGAGTGACACCTTATTAAAATTGTACCTTACAGAAAAGGATTTTGGTTGCAAAATGAAAGACAAGGATAACGTGGATATTGCAGGGGACACTAACGAGGTGGCGACCCTGAAGGAGGCAGTGGCCGCGGCCGAACGCAATGCGGCCGCGGAGCGCACCGAGCGAGAGAAGCAGGAGGCGCGGGTGGCGGAGGTACAGCAAGAGCTCCAGGATCTCGTGAAAAAACATGAGAGCCTGGAGCGTGACTCGAAGACTCGAGAGTCTGAACTTGCAACGGCTCTTGAGAGTGCCAAAGCCGCTAAGGCCAAAGCCTACAAGGCCCTCCGAGAAATCGAGGCATTGAAGAAAATAGCAGCGGGTAAGGCATTTTTCATGCAAAGTAAGCATGTGAGTGTTAATTACCTGTTGCTTACCCGAATTCGGAGCTCTCCAGGAGCGTTTGCAGATCTTCCTTGCAGCGTGTCCGATGCTGCCGCGTTCTACCGGGCCGAGGAGGGGAGCTCGACGGAGAAGGTCTTCTGGTCTCAGTATGCTGAGGCCGGACATCCGGTGCCCCTTAGCGACCAGCTAAAGCAGCTGGTCGAGCTCCACAAGGCAGCCGAACAGGCCATGAAGGGCCTTATAGTTCGGCTGTGGCCTAAGGAGGCCATGCCTGGGAGCTACTTCGGCTTGGTGCGGCGGCTGGTGGATGCGTGCCCGTGGGTTGAAGTCATCAAGCACTCCGCTTGTATTGAAGGTGCCCGTCGGGCCCTTGCCCGCGCAAAGGTGCACTGGGGCAAGATGGATGCCCAGAATCTCGTGACGGACCCACCACCGGAGGGCAAGGAGTATCGCACGCCCGAGATGTATTATAAGAGTGTGCTGAAGGGCGCCCGCACTATTGCGGGTGAGTGCTCCAAAGATGTAATATTTGAGTAGACTCACATTTTGTTATCTTGTGCGCTAAAAACTTAGTTCATTTGCGCTAAGCAACGCATTTTAATTTAAAATATTACCTTCTGTGCGGCTGTTTATCAAATCTGAGAGATGGCAAGTCG